TTAAACAACCATTTAAATCGTCGCTTGAAGGCGCGCTACGAATTTTTCAAGTTTTTCCTCTCCGTGAAAAATTTCCCTGAAACGAAGCCTCGAATTTTTTTTTCATCTGTCTGTGGAAGAAGCGACCTGTGGGTAAAAATTTCGAATAAAGTTCGAATAATCAAAACGCTCGAATTTCGCAACGATTATTCGCGAAGCAACTTGATTCGACCATTAAATTTCCCTCCTCACCATTCCTCGCTTCGTTCGGATGGAAAATTAAAAATTAAAATTAAAATTAAAAAAAAAATATCATCGAGCTGGTTAGCAGCTCGAGAAACGACGTTAAGAATGATCCTCGAACGAGATATTCTTGCCGGGATATCTCCTGGTGGCGTGAATCACCGACATAAGCGGTCAAACGAGAACCATCGACGCGGCCACGCACGCATCGTGACCACTTTCAACTTCATCCTCTCCCTTCCACCCTCCCCTCTCCTCCTCTGCGTTCCGCGAGATACTCCCCCCAGAATCGATCGTGTTTCGTTGCCTCTTTCCCTTTTTTCCTTCTTTTACACGTCTCCGTTCTCGAAAGGAGAAAACAAAATTTCGAATTTCGTTGTTAAATGATTTTAAATGAGAGTGTAATAAATAGAACGTAGTCGGTTTCCGATAATTCGACCAGAATTCCGATAATTATTTCCATTTTCCATCCCGCGATCGCACGCACACACACATACACACTCCGCCCCCCTCCCTCCCCGGTGAATGAATAATAAAATAGCGTGTCGGGATCGCGCAAACATGTTTCGAGAGCGTATACTCGAACATCGTAAACTTTCTTTGTCCGGGATAATAATTGCGGTTAAATAATCAATTAATTAAGGACGACCTCATGTTCTCGCGTCGCGGGCCAGATTTTATGGAAATAAACGTTGCCCGGGCTGTGTGTGTGTGTGTGTGGCGGGGGATAATTGCAACGGAATGCAAATCGCGTTTAAATAATAAACGGGGTCATCGCGTAACGTTTTCACGCACGGGGATTATATCCCCTTCTCGCCCACGGTATAATTATTATAATTTGCAGTCGAAAATATCGACGATAATCTCTCTATCTCTCTCTCTCTCTCTCTCTCTTCCCCCCTTTCCCCTCCATTCGACGAGGGAAATCTGCGCTCGGTCCATCGATCGTCGTGTGCATCGGCCGCAATGTGTTTTCCAACACGAATTAAAACGCTGCTCGCCGTTCGTCTCTCTACGCTCTACCAATTATTTTCGATATTATATTTTCATAATATGCTACGTTTCATAACGAGAGGACAACGGGAAGAAGAAAAATCGACGAAAAGAAGGAAGAGGAGAAGAAATATGTGGGAGTGGTGGTTGAAGAACGTGAGTAGTGGTGGTCGAGGAAATCACGAGAGATCGGATAGAAAGGGAGAAAGAAAGGGGAGAAAAGATGGGGTGGTGGTGGTGGTGGTAGATAGAAGGCAGGGAAGGAGAAAGACAAGAGCGATAAAGAGAGAAGGTCCGAAGGGCGAAGAATAATGGAAACACCTTGGCCCATTACTGCCAAAATTCCCTGACCATTCACTCTGTAAACGGGCACCGTTACCACAGAGGGTTTGTTCCGGAAGGGAACCGGTGGCACGTCGTTACCGGGGCAAACTACGTCGTCGACAACGCCGGTCGGTAAGTGCAGGAGGTCCGGTACGTTCGTGCCCGGCCACCTAGCAACCTGCTGCCATCGAGAACCCCTCCCACCTTCTCGTCCCTCCTCCTCCTCCTCTTCCTTCCAACGCTTTCCTTCCTTCGACCCCTTGGACCCCTCGTGCGCAGGCGCTCGTACGCCCCTTTCGCCGTCCACGAGGGTGTAAGTCGGCCGACAAACTCCGCCCACTCGGCCGCGTCGACGAACCAACAACCCCCGTGCACGAGGCCACCGTCCACCGTGGGCCAAGGGTTCGCGGAGGGCGGAGACACGATTATCCCCTGTCCCCCCCCCGCCCGGGAGTGGAACCGGTCGGTGGACGGGCAGAGAGGAGCAGTGTCGCTCGGAGCGGGTCGCAAAGATGATCGGCGCCTTTGTCGCGCATACGACCGTTACGTATCGTATATTCGAACGATCGTTCCACGCGCAACATCATCGCCACTGTGACGTGATTCTCGCCACGGGGAAGGTAGACGGCGGCGACGTGGACAGCCACGCTTGTTGAACGCCGCGGGGAAGAAAGATCGTCGGACGGACGGTCGGTCGGTCGGTCGGTTAACGGATTGTATATTTCGTTCTCGGCCCGGCGTCCATCATCGGCCTGGATTATGACCAGTCGTTTCGACGGTTGGCCGTCGACGTGGTTAACAGAAGCGGTCTGGACGTTCGCAGTGCCGTGATCGATTCGGGGGATATAGGAGAAGGGTGAAGGTATATCCCGTGGAAAGGGCCGCCGTATCCAGCGGCCGCTGGCACACGGGACAAGCGATGCTCGACCTCAAGAGCAGCGGGACCACCGCCGCGGAATTGCCACGCACCACGGCGTTCACCAATCTATCCATGCTGTTCGCCGGTACGCCGCCAATTCATTTCGTTCGAACGCGCCTCGGTTTCCTCGTTTCGGCCGCGATGCGACGGACCACGGTGATCGAACCATTTCCATTCTATATAAAGTCGCCTTATGCTATTTCCTTCGTCTCTCTCTTTTTTTTTCTTTTGTATATATATATCAACGTGAATGTATAAGCGTTCCTCTTCTTTATCCTCTGTAGGTATACGTACGATATACGTTTGCTGCGTTGTCCGATGTCGTCGCGTCTCGTTCGATCGAAACGAATACGACGATTCTGCGTTACTTGTTGATTTTCCGATTTATTTTTTCACGACGCATATGGGATATGAAATTTTAGCAAATTACAATACGAGTTGATTGTACAAACAGTTGTACAAACAGTTCTAACATTCGTACAAACACTTTAATTTTAAAAATTTACCTAGGCACAAACTTCTTAAAGAAACGATTATAATCGGCCACGTGACGAAACGATCTCTCTCTCCCTCCCTCCCTCTCTCTCGACTCGTTTTGCAAAATTTCACTATCCCCATCGGAGGAGGAGAAAAGAAAAAGAAGAAAACTTTCTCCACTCGATTACATTCTTGCACGAGTTTCAACGTTCAACGCCGGCGACGGAAGCGATTCGAGCCTACGAAAAGTACGATAATTCGGGCGTTAGCGATCACGCTCGATGATGATCACGCTCGAGTTTCCGTGAACGTGAAATTCGAGGCCTTTCCCCTCTCTCTCTCCCCCCTCCCCCCACCCCCCGTTAATGGATCGTGGCTCGAGATCGAATGAAGGGCGGGGGGAGGGAGGGGGGAGAGGGGCAGTAAAGACGAAAAGGTCGGCTGTTTGCACGGAAACACGGACTTTCTGCGAGCGGCATGACGTAGTGGCCCGCGTGTGTACACACGCGGGGGCCGCCCTCGTGCCAATAACTGCCAAATGAAAATATATCTGTCTGCAAACAGACCGGCGGCGCTCGAGAACACAGGGCGGAACAAAATCCAGATTTTTCGTGAACGCGAGACGCCACGTGAAACCGATACGTCATCGTCGTCATCGCCGCGTCCGCAAATATTATGGATAAATATGTAGAGTTGAACAGTAGTTGAACTCGAATCTCGAATGTTGGGGGGAGAGGGGGAAAGTCCGTTTTCAATGGTGAGCGATGAAGGGAAGGATGGATGGATCTTTTTGCGGGAAAAGTGATTTGAAAGTTTTGGAACAATGGAATAATATTAATAAATCTGCATGAGTTTTTTGCTTGTTTTTAAGTTTGAAGTAGTGTTATGAGTTATTCGGTAATTTTATCCGTTTTTGAAGGTTTTGAAGATGGAAAAGAATTGAATGAATTTTCTTTTTATAAGGAAAATGATTTTAAGTTTGAGAAATCTCTTGAATCCCCACTCTTGAATTTTTGTTTATTTTAAGCTTGAAGTAGTGAGTTATTCGATAATTCGAAGGTTTTGAATATCGAAATGAGAAAAAAAATTGTTTCGCTTGCCAATACATCGAGATAAATTTTCTTTTCCTAAGAAAAGCGATCCAAATCGTTTTGAAATATATTAAGTTCGAGAAATCTTTGAATCTCCTTTGACTTTTTATTAATTTTAAAAAGTGATCTAAATTATCCGATGATTTATTTTCTATTTACGAAGATTTTGAATATGAATTCTTTCACCTGTGAGTGGAGTACATTGAGATATATGAATTTTCTTTTTACAAGAGAAAACGATCGAGATCTTAGTATTTTGGTATATTTCAAGCTCGAGAAATTTTCCACGAATCTCTCCATTCGCTTCCAACCAAATAATATCTAGATCTAAAAAAATGAATTATTCCGTTATCCGACAATTTGTCTATTTTCATCCCTCGCCGTCGGAAAAGAATTCCAAATCTTCCCTCATTTTATTCATATATAAAGATCGAAACTGAAACTTTCGCCAACACTGTTATTATATCCCACGACTCGAACTCGAGAGCGAGTCTTAAATCATAATCGACGAATCGTTCGTGAATCGTGCACACTTCTCAACCTGTACTCGACGAGGGAGGCGTAACGTCGTTAAAGGGTCGTAAAGATTTTTCCTAAGGAATCGTTTTTCAACGAAAAAGAAAGAAAAAAAACCCGCTCGAAACCAGCGATCAGATTATTATTTTACTGCCACCAGCGATTCGCAGAACTGATTACCTTGCAATTGCACACGTCTCTTCTAACAACCCAAGTGACCCAAAAAAAAAAAAAAAGAAAAGAAAGAAAAAATTGTGCAATCTCTTGTCAGGGATCACGAAGCGCGAAACGAGGTTTCATTTTTAAACCTCGATCGATTTCCAGACGATTTCCTTCCTTCGAAATATCATCTCGAATTGTTATCGTTCGAGACACGAACACGAATTTCGAATACGAATACCCCTCGATTTATCCAAGATTATTATTTATTCACCGCCTCTCTTTTTGCCTGTTCACAGATGCCAGCAGCTCGTACAAAGGAGGCTGGAGCCACGCCACGTCGCCGGCTCCTGGACAGGGTGAGTTTCTTCTCATGTTACTGTTTCGATTAACACCTCTCGTATGCGGATGACAATATAAAATCTTGGAAGAAGGATTTGATCCGCCGATCTTTCTTAAACTTTTCTTATTCAATTAACTCGCGTAGATTCAAGATTCTCCAAACTTTTTTTTTCCCTCTCGAAAAAAAAAAGACAACAACCACTTTCACGAAAACGAAAGGGGAGGGGGAAGGAACAAAGGGAGGAAGAGCAAAAAGAAACACCAAGATAATTCCATCCTTAGGAACCGCGACGAGAGAAGAAGTCGTCGTCGTCGTCGCGGCGAATCGATCTCCTCCTCCTCCTCCTCCTCTTATCGGTGCTACCACGATTTCTCTCCCTCTCTCCTCACATTTTCCTTCTCCTCGATTCGGCTACACACATATATAACAGAGGCCAAAGGGTGCCTCCTAGGCGCCGCTGGGTGCAAGTTCACGCGTCGCGACTCTCTCGCCTCGTTCCCGCGCCTTTGTATACGAATCTACAACTCTCTCTCTCTCTCTATATATATATATATATATATATATACGTATACACACGTGCAACTACGTACATATATATATACGTGTCCATGGTAAGCGAGGGACAGGCAGGGTGTGTGGGTGGGCGTCCCGGCGCTTTGTGGCGCGTTGAACCGCGGCCCCTTTGTCGTCGACACACAGAGGAAGGGAGGACGAGGCCTGGGGGCTGTGTAGAAACGGTCGAGGGGAGGCGCCCCACCCTGCCGTTGGACGGCGGTGGCACAATCATCTCGCGGAGATCAGAGGAGCACCGGTTGCCCGCGGCCACCTTGTTATAAACGGGTCTCTCTGGACGGTTGGCTGGGTGGCTGGCCAGGTTACAACGCCATGGACCACCTGGCAAAGGGCGAATTAACGCTTTGACTACTCTCCTCGCTTTCGGCGAGAGAAACTCTGGGGGAGGGATGGGGGAGGAGGAGGCGTTTTATCTAAAAGTGAGGGGAGGTGTGGTTTGTTGGTTTTTGGGAGGATGCTCGAGAGCGGTTGTGATTTGGTTAGGTTTATTACATAGTTGTATTAGATGTAAAACTTTGAATAGTTGGAATGATGGAAGAAGAGGGATTAGTGTTACACCAATTAAAGTCTATAGAAGAGTAAACGTGTCTGTTTTCGATGTGTCTTGTTTTGGTATTTTGTAAAGTTGAGAACCTTTTTCTCTCTTTATATTTTGGAAAAATGGAAGTAATGGAAAGGTATTTTTTCCATCATAATTTGTCGATAATTTAACGAATCGGTTGAGAAGGAAGAAGAAAGGAGAAGGCTATAAATTCGACCGGCTAGCATGGCCGGTCGACGACGACGGATTACCGTCGATATTTGCTACGAAAGCGATATCCGTGGGGGGGGGGGAAGGAGCGGTTTTCGCGCTGTTAATAATAGCAGCGAGATTTTCATTAGTTTGGTATATTAGTTGGAACGCGGTGGCGCAATCCGTTTCACGAAGGTTTGGCCCGGGGGTGGTTTGATGTAAACGGCTTGTGGTTTCGACGCCTCGTTAGATTGCAATCACCATGGATCAGTTATCAAAGAGGGAATTGATGGTTTCGTTCGCACGTGCGGATCGCACGCCATGCGGGGACACACCATTTTCGAACTGAAAATTGAAGGACAAACAGGCGTGTTCCTCCCTCCTTCCAATTTTTCCATTTTTCGTTTCTCCGTTTTCTTTTCTAAATGCCTGCGTTCTCTTCAATCGTTGTATTCTTTGATAAAAGAAAAAGTGATCCGATTCGTTGGATCGAGAACTCACTCGATTACACTTAATTAATTTAAATGCATGCTTTTTATCTTTCACTTCAATCGGACGAGTTGGAGATTTTTAAATTCCAAGTCATCGTTCCTAGCACAACTTCCATCAATGTCTCCATCAAATTCTCCATCGTCTCTCTTTGACTCGGTTTCACGCATCGGGCAACGCGAGAGGGTGTAGAAGCCATCCTCCGACCAGAAATTAAGCGACGACACGCGTGTCCGCCCCATTATTCGTAAGCCAAATTAGTAATTCGCCTTCTTCGATAAAATTCTTGAAATTCTCGTAGGCCAAATTATAAATTCACTCTCTTTCGAAATTTTAAAACAGTTAACAATATCGAAATGAATCTTCTGTCCTCGATGACTCGCAAATTAATTCTCTTGGATGAAACTATTACCATCGAGACGAACCTCTGGGCGAAAGATTCAGGAACGAATGAAGTTCGAAATGCAATTCGAGTCGAGGCGATAATTCGGAATAAGGGTATTAACGTTTGATCGCGTGCTCGCGATCTGCCCGAAACTCGCGGTGGATTACGCGTGTACGGCCGTGTTATCGATGGAAGCAAGGTGCGCGGCTTGTTCACGCGATTTCTTGCCAAGGAATTGGCGGATCTGTTCGATAACGATTATTTGGAACGATTTTAAATTGTTTATTTCTCTTCCTTTTGAGCATAGGTGGATCGCAATCTTTTTTTCTTCTTCTTGAAGTTTCAACGATTTTTAAAGGGGGACGGGATTTTCTTTATCCTTTGCTATTTCCAGAACTGACGAACTAGAACTAGTTCGTATAAAAGGAAAAATTCCTGCGAATTTTTATTTTATTTAAAAAAACGGAGGAAAAGTTTCTTTCTTTTCTTTTTTGAGAAACGATAATCGAATGATATAATTCGATTTTATTCAAAAAATTCATCCATACTTACACGCAATTTATATTTATATTATAATTCTTTTTCTTCTTTTCTATATTATAATCGTATGTTTTAATACTTAAATTTTACATATATATATATATATGATTTTCAAAAGAGTTATATCGTAACTAAAAAAGAAATTCAATTATTAAGAAAAAAAAAAATTTTGGATCACAAACGATAAATTCTTTCTCGAAAAGCTGCATCCCCCGAAAAGGAAATTCCTCTTAAGAAAAATCCGTAAAAACCTCGAAGAAAGGAACGGTCAGTGGTCCGTCCCAGCCTGGATGGATATCGACCTCTCCACTCCCCCCAGTTTTCAACGGGTCTACTGCTCACTGGCCGGGAAAAGCGACTCTAAGACAACTGGTAGAACAATAAAAAAGTACTGCTCCCTGTTTCCACGAGCGTGTGGGCGGCTCGCGTGACTTCCTGACCCGAGCCAAGTCGACGAACCAACCCTCCTGCACACGCGTGCAGTTGTACGTCGATGCACGGGGGCCAGCAGACCCTAACCTCTCCACCCTCTATGATAATTACGTATTCTGGCGCGGCGCGTGCCTTGGCAGCACGCTCACGCGCCCGATCACGTATGCCGTGACTATCAACGCCGCCTCGACACCCGTACACCGTTCTGTGGCGCCCTCCTCTTCTAAGGAGGAACGGGCGTTTGAAAAAGAATTCGTTAACCGTTTAACCTGTAGGCTACCGTGGGGGATATAAGCGTATGGGCGCTGGAAATTTTGCGTTTGTGAACATCGAGAGCGCTTTATCCCATCTCGTGGTCGCCGAGACCGAGAATAAAGGAGCTCGACGCGATTTGCCTTTCTGACGCGGAAGGCGCTTGGAAATTTTGCGTTTGTGAACACCGAAAACGCATATAGGCGCTATCACATCTCGTGGTCGCCGAGACCTAAAGGCGCCTCGACGTAGTTTGGCTTTCTGACACGGAAGGCGCGCCTATACGCGTCTTGAAAATTCGGAAAAACGCAAATGTGCAGTGTGTCGAGAATGTGACAAAAGAAGTGAAGACGCATTACGAATGCGAGAAAAATGTGATGTTGGATTACGTACTTATCCATTGTTTCGAATTATATGTCGCACTTTATTAGATTAATATTAAATTTTTAATGTTTATAGTAGCGAGTTAGGTTAAGAGTACGAAGAAATGAATAATATTGTTTTGATGTTGTGAAATTCAGTTTTTTGATTATTGCAATGTGGTTTTTTTTTTAACAAAAATGCATTCCTATTCCAAAATTTCGCCTTTCTTGTGTCTCAAAGTCTGCGATGTCAAAAGATTAAAAGGGGAGAGAGGAAGTTCCAAGACGATAAAAAGCTGTTGTTGCTGCTCGGATTTCGTATTTTCATTCTTGTATTACGGGAATTTTAGTTATTTAAATGGTGGATGGTGGAGTTTAATGTAATTGGAAAAGTGGAAGAAAGATTTAAAAATTCTTTCGATTCTGTGCGTGTATCGCGAAGCGTAACGTTGATTGTTGACGAATGTTAATGAATTTTTCTTTTCATTCTCCCTCGAATTTTCTATCTATTTTTTCTTTTTCATCTCGTGCACAATCGAAGAACTGGCTAAAAATTTCGAACGAAATTAAATAATTACTCGTTAAAATGCTCGAATTTTCGCTTTTCGCACAACACCACGCTTATTTCCGATCATTGTGTCGAAAGCGAAAAAATTATCGAAGCACCTCGTCCAAGTAAAATTTGCCCAACAACAATCGCTGGTCGTGCTGCTACTCGAAACTCGTATAAAGACGTATACGCGCGTCTCGTGTCTCGCGGTTTAAAATTACCTACTAAAAAAAAATATTTACGATAACAAGCGTGTACACAACATTTCCAAAGAAACAAAGAGAGGAAGAGAGAGAAAAGAAAAATGCGCGCAATCTGTGAAATTTATCGAACAATTTCCTAGGTTCGTGGAAAAAAGAGACGTTGGAGAGGCGTGTGAACAGCCGTTGTTCGTGTTGGCATTAATTGAACCCCGCTCGATAAGCTGATATCGGGATTTCATGCAGAAGGAAATCCCTCCTCGCCGCCGTTAAGATCACCCAGCTCGACAACAATCCCTTTTTCTTCGGGTGTGTCGCGTTCACGCTATGCGATAATTAGGAAACGATTAATTTCGCTCCGCGTAACACGTCGTTTGGAAACGGGATTTGCCACAGCTGTTTATCTTGATGAACAAAAAACGTATTTGCCACACGCACGAACGGGCGAGAAAATAGTTAACAGGTTGACAGGTGGAAAAAAGGTGGAAGCTGTTTTCGTC